TTGTTAGATGTGGGTCCCCATTCACCAAGGCCTTGCCATTCCAAGCCATCAAACTGTCTCTCCACCATATCAGTTCCTCTCATGCCTGAGGAGATAGCTGCACCTCACTTTCGTAATTCATTGAAGGAGAGAGATGCTAATTCTTTAAGTTTTGCAAGTGGCAGTAATGAAGAGGAGCTGGAAAGACAGCTTGAATGGAACTGTTTAACAAGCCTATCAAGCTTGCCAACTTTTGCAATGTCAGAGAACTGTTAGGGCCTTTTGGCACTCCTGCTGTATCTTGCGAACTTACTCGCGGGGTAACGCGAGAGTCATAGTTGTTGAATCCACTAGGAAACCTAGGAATTCCATCTGAGGGGAGGGAAGCATCGCTGACTTCTCGCAATTCACCACAAAGCCTAGATTTTCCAGTGTACTGAGAACTAACTGGGCATGTTGATTTGCAAGTTGTTTGCTTTCTACCATTATCAAAATGTCTTCTAGGTAGACTATTAGCCTTACGCCCATTTTGGGCAGCATCCCCACCACTGGTTTCATGAGCTTGGTGAAGACTCTCGGTGCACTGGCTAGGCCAAAGGGAAGGCAAGCGAATTCCCACACTGTGCCCTTCCATAGAAATCTCAGATACTTTTGATGGCTTACCCACACTGGAACAGTGCAATACACGTCCCTGAGGTCCAATTTGACCATGTAGTCCTCTTATCTTAAAAGGTCTCACAGCATGTGTATCCCTTCCATTTTGAAATGAGAATACTCTACAAAATAGTTCAGGGCTTTCAAATTTATGACAGGCCTTTGACCACCACCTTTCTTGGGAACCATGAACAGGGAACTTACAATTCCTGGATCTTTGTCTGACACTGGGGTTTTGTGAATCGCCCCTTTGTCTTGCAAGGACTTGATCTCGTTGTCCATAGCAACAGTCTCCTCCTCTGAGAAGGGGAGGAGTGGTTGGAGGGCTACTTGAACAGGAATTTCTGTTAATTCAATATGGTAGCCTGTGATTATTTGACATACCCATGGGTCCTTTGTAATAAGAGACCAATTCTGAACAAAGTGGGCTAGTCTTCCTGCTACTGGATAATTGCTTGTACTTAAAACTGAATAAATAGGAAACATACCTTCGCTTAAACTGTTGGTGCTTGAGGAGTCCACTGTTAACCCCTGCCCCTGAAGTTGGTGGGCTGACCTCAGGGTTGAAAATGCCCTGTTCCTCGGTTGCGGAAAGCTCCGTTGACACCTGCCGCGATATGGGCTGCCTCGGAAGGGGCGGGAGGTACCTTTGTATAAAAAAAAATTCTGGGAACGCCCACGACCTGCATAACTAGCATCCATCAGTGTCTGTGCTGTTTCAGCTCTGGCTTTGAGCTGGGCCTCAAACCCTGCACCAAAGAGTTTCTGTCCAGCATTAGGGTAGTCCTCTTTTCCCAGTGAGGCCAAAGAACCATGATTGTTGATCTTGTTTAGTACAGCCGATCGGCATGTAACCGATACGAGGGAGGACACATTTCCCACTAGACGTATAGAGTACGAGACTGCTTGTAGCATGCTTTGGACTTGATCTTGAGACAGTGTGAAAGTCCTTACTAGATGAATCACTCGTGGCAGTCAAGTGCTCAAACAGCATACACAAAGGTCCTGTGATGTCAAGGACTTTGTCTTGCAAGAAGCAGTTATCTTTATCAATTGCTTTCCCTCCCTGAACAAGAGTAGCACTGTAATCATCCAGTTCAGGAGTATAAACAGCATCAACATTAGGCCTGGGATATTCACAGCACATAGTTTTCCTCTCAAAGTTTGTGAGAGGTTTTCTAGCAACAAGTTCCAGAAAACTGGAAAGTTCCTCGTTTGCCGCCCAACGTGCGGCTGAGGTACTATCATCAGAGGCAAGCGGCTCTGTATTGAGGGCATCCTCGTGGTCAATACTACGATTGTCAGAACCTGAAGTACCAGGGTTTGACATATCCCACGGTGGCTTTTTCAATGGATTATTATCAATGATGCTGATCTCTGGATCTAAAGGTTGTCAAGCCTTGGTCGCTCTAGTTTGTGCTGACGGCCCTTGATCGGCCTTGGTTATTTGTGCGTGTTGACTATCGGCCGTGATCGCCAATTTTAGCATGTCAAACGCTGATTTGTTGGCCAAAATGGCACGAATTAAATCACCAGGATGGACCTTACCTTCCTGATGCTGAAGGAGGTTCTGAGAAGTAAGGATGGATCCGGAATCTTGTGGAATATTTCCATTGACATTGGTCATGACTTCTTCGTCAGAGGAGCGAATAAAAATGGCGCCGAACAGAGGGACCACTGATCTTATATGACCTATGGAGGATTGCCGCTGGCCTATTGATATTGTTGTTTTGTTTTATTTGTTGTAAAGCCACTGTTAGGAGCGAATAAAAGTTGGTAACACTGTTATATGGAGGTGACTGTTCTGAAGTATACTTGAGGTTCAACTGTACCCCAAAATATGAAGCACTCAGCATGGCAAAAGGGACATCTCTTCATTTTATGTATAAGAGAAGAATTGCCTGTATTGCATACCAGGCTTTCAACAACTTAGCTCCTGATGACATTAATAATTTATTTACAAAGCACAGAACTCCATATAATTTAAGAGATAATGTAAGATTGGAACTTGTGAGCTCCAAATGCAAAGCCTCACATGATTCCTTCACTCATTGTTCTAGTATTGTTTGGAATTGCTTACCTAGCCAGTTAAAGTCCAAGCCTAGTTACTCCTCTTTCAAGGCTAACATTAAGAAATTCTCAAAGTGCATTGACCAAATTACTTTTTGCACAACCTCTACTGCAACATATAAATATATTGTTGGATTTATATATTATTAACGTTCAGTTTATTATCTGTCGTTTTGATTGGTCTTCCTTATACCTTTCATTTGCATTATCTAAATTACATCATTTAATTACCATTTATATATTTATTTATACAGTCATTTCATGCTTATCTATTTATTTATGTATTACTGGTATTTATAATTAACAATTATTTGCCAAAGGCAAGGTGAATGTCGTCGGATAATCCCCGAGACGAAGTCGAGGGGATTATTCGACAATATTCACCGAACCTGAGGCGAATAATTGTTTTAGTATAATTTCACAGCTGAAAAACAGAGAAATTTCTAAAATCATAACATTTTAGTAACATTTATTAACATTTTAGTTTAACATTTTATATAAACCGCGCGGAGCGGTTTATATAGTGTCATATAAGGAACCGCTCAACCAATCAGATTGCTGGAAACTCTTTGTTCAGCTCTGAAATTATACTAATCATTAATATTGGGATATATTTTTTAGATGTCAATATATTATAGTGTAAGTAGATAGCAGGTCCACATCAGCAACTGCTGCCATCTACTCAACTTGCTTTACCAAATAAAGGATGTATGTATGTACGTTTGTATGTACTGGTGGTACACCAATCATATGATGATAACAATTATAAAAATCTGAGGCATATGTGCAGCTACTAGCCTATATATATAATTTTTTTTCTATTTGTTTTTTAGGTTGATTGTACAAAAGAGACTCCACTTTGTGCAAGGCAGAATATCCGAGCATATCCTACGTGAGGCCAAATTTTTTACCACTTGAAATTCATTAGAAAACATTTGCTAGTTTGTTCAAGTAGGGTCGGTGAATTTTTTCCTTTCCGTTTCTTATTTTAAGGTTAAAACTTTACTATGATCATGGTGAAATAAAGAGATACAATGGAAAAAGGAGAATGGGTGAACTAAAAGCCTTTGTTGACAAGTTTGCTATCACATCAGAGGTAAGACAAAGCATCAGAGGTAGCCATGCAACTGAAGCTTTGATGTTTTTTCATGGAAAAAGAAAGCAGAGCAACCTTGAAAGTGACTGATGGGGAAATGGGGAATGTGCACACCAGATTCTGATGGGTCAGCTTCTTATAATTCTCAATTTAGATGTAATTAATCCAAACAATCAAGCAAAGGCTTGGTAGTATGTGAAACTCACTATCACTCGTAGGCTTGAAAATCAAGATGTATCTAAGCAGTCTTTTAGCCCTGTTGGGCTGCCAGCTACGCAGGAATAAAACTGAAATGTAATACCACCACCTTTGCCAGTTTAGTTAAGTACCTGTGACCCTTGATTAAGCACTACTCCCAAAAATATTCTTTGTATGAGAACAATATTATGAGTGAGTGCTCTAAAATTTAGAGTAAACAGTTTTTTTTTTTTCATGTCATATCTAAGCAGCCATTAATTTTTGTTTGTTCTCCTTTAGTCATTTCATCTTGCTTGATTAACACAATATTAATGATTTGGATTAATAATGAAACCAATGCATTATTTGGTTTCATCAACTTAGTTGAAATTGTAAATTGACCACCATAAAGAGTTGAATACCTGACATTTCGAGTGTTGGCCCTTGGTTAGAGCAAATGATTTGCTCTGAAGGGCCAACGGTCAAAATGTCAGCTGTTTAACTTTTTACAGTGGGCAATTTACAACTTCAACTTAGTCAATAAAACCAAATTACCTTCAAGTTGTTACTTACACTGACACGACACCACAGTTTCTTTAGAAACTTACCCCCTTTATTCAATGCATTATTTGTCTAGTTTTCTCTGTTAATGAATCACATATTAAAAGAAACATGTTATAAGGTTTTTAAAACTTTTTGTAACCTATAGCTTAGCTAGTACTCCTTATTAACCATTAGAAGTTTACCTGCTATTAATAATGCTAAGGAGTTTGGTGTATAAAGAGGCCATGTCAAGTGTCATACTTAAGATTGATTGTATAATAAACATGTAAGAACTTAGACACAGTCATGATCAATGTACCAGTCAGGAGGCCTCTATACTCCTTTTTTTGTGTGTTGGGGATGAAAAGCCTGAAATAGATGCCCTTTGAGACCATTGTACAGGCATGATGTTACATTTACTTCTTAAAATCTTGGTTTATTTAGCAAAAAGAAAAGGAAAACTCAGAGGCTACAGGTGAATCAGATAATGGTTTATACATACTGACATCAGAGAATTTTGATAGACACGTGGAATTGGGACTACATTTTGTAAAGTTCTATGCCCCATGGTAAGTGTTGCCTTAAACTGTGGGTTCAAGTCATTGTAGAGTTCTCATTTAGTTGTCAAACATTTACAAAGCTTATATAACTGCATCAAACATGAGTTGTATTATAAAATGTTGTGAAGTTACCATGATACTAGTTTTTTTTTAGAATGAAATTGGTCTTTGTAGAGTTTGATTTAAAAAAAAATGCAAATCTTACAGGCAAAGAAGTTCAAAATTTATTCAGTCTTCTTAAGTAGATACAGTTAGGTTAATAGTAGACATGTAAATTGTTTTTGTATTTTGATGGGACAGTTCTATTGTAGGTATCTTCCAAGCATTTTTTCAGATTGATTAAACAGACGACCCATTCTCCTCTATAAGTCTGGGTTAGAAAAACACTATAAGAAAATTGTGCCTTCAATAGTCAAAAACTCTCTACAGTGGTCTCAGTATACTGGTCCACAAAAACTGATACTCACCTCATCAACTGATAATTAACAACTATTCACAGAAGTGGAGGTGATTAGTGGTGGATATTTACCGAGCTGCGAGGTGGCAAGGTAAATATCCACTGCTAACCACAAACACTGAGGTGAATAGTTGTTTTAGTATATACTAAAACAGTGAGATACCAGAAATTGATTTGAGTGATTTTTTCGCTTGTTACAGATACAAACCAGGATGCCATTTTTTCCTGAGTTGCTTGGAGGTAAAAAGCAAAGGGTATTCGGAGTTTGACTAGCCAATCAGAGCGCACCTTCAACGCTATCCACTGTTTTAGTATATACCAATCACAGTTACTGAGAGTACATAGTAATCGCTCATACAATGTCATGTAGCTTTCATTCTATGGATTTGATTGGACAGGTGTAGCCACTGTCGCAAACTTGCACCCACTTGGAATGCTCTAGCAGAGTACCACAAAGATAGTGTGGATGTGACAGTTGCAAAGGTGAAAGTTCAGCATCTTTTGTTTTTGAAGGTCAACATCTTGTTTTTCAGAGAGTGGGAGACCGTCACATTTTTATTTCCTTGTCAACTGAGTGTTTGCCTTCAAATGATTGTGCCACTCAATCAATCAATCGATACTTTATTTACCCACTTAGTGTCAAAGAGCTTGTAGAGCTCGTTCAAAATAAATACGTGCCATGTATATCAGTTGATATGTGGATTTTTGTTGTTGTTTAGATTGATTGCACAACTGAAAGCAAGACATGTACTGAACACAATATCCATGCATATCCTTCATTGAAGTTGTTCAAAGATGGAAGAGAGGTTGGTGATTTTCTGCAAATTGTTCCTAGTGAAAATAATGAGGAAAGGTAACAGAGATGTATTCATCTTTGTCCAGGGATTGGTGTCTCTGGATCAGGTATTCCAGAGGAAAGGGCAATTTCACTCATCTCATCATCGAAACTTGGGCAAACTACCTTACACTCTCTCTAACAGTATTTCTGAAATTGAATATAATGATTTCTTTACAGAGAATTTAAAAAATATCTAAAAACACAAAGATCTTGATTGGACTACCAAAAAACATCAGGGAAGGGGGGCTGGGGCAGTAAATCGCAGATGCATGTAAGTTATGGGACTGTTGTATCAGTTTAATAACTTCCTTTGCCATAAACAGGACCACTTTGAATCTGAAATGCTTTAGGTGGACAGTTATGAAGGACCACGTTCACTTGATGATCTGAAGAACTACCTGACTCTAAAGATCTCTGAGCACAGTCTGTTAAGCAGTGCAATCACAGAAAACAGTGAGACTGCTGAGGAGATTCCATCAGATGATGTGGAGGCTGACATGGTAACAAAATTAATTACAGTTAGAGGGTTGTTTCTCTATTCCCAGTCTCACTAGAATGGGAGCAAAACAGGTGCCAACACATTGAAAACAAAGTGGTAAAGCCAAGAGCCAGTTCTCTTGTCTTTTCTCATTGTTTTTTTAATTCCTCTTTGCAAGGCCTGTCCAACTGAAGAACCTCAGAAAAAAATTCCAACTGCTCACAGTGTTCCCTACTTGAGCTTGATTACAGTGTGGTGTTCAGACCTTTCTTTAAAAATATGATTTGCATGTGGCTGGATATGAAAGCAGACTATGCTGGCGACACTGGGAAACAGTCAAGACATCTTCTGGGTTAACAACAACAACAACAATTAATCACTTATAGAGCGCTATTTACAATGACAGATCAACAGCGCTTTACAATCAATCCTAACCCGCCCATCCCACCCCAGGGGACATCCATCACACAGTAATCTCGTGCGTGGGAAATTAACGTCTCCTACCCCTAACCCTGTAGGAGACGGGACCTCCATTTATTGGTCCCTATCCGAGAAGACTAGAATATCTAACCATTTCTTGATGTTATAGAAAGGTAGCATATTCTTCTCAATTATTTTAAGACCTTGAGTGTTGGTCCGGCCGGGGCTCGAACCCTTGACCTCCCGCACAACAGTCCAGCGCTCTATCCATTGAGCTAACCGGGAGGCGGTTAGCTCAATCGGAAGGGTTGTGCTCTAAGTTCAATTTAGGTCAACAACCGTGGGCCTTTGTGCTCACCTTGTTCAAACCTTGGGTCATCACTATGAAACAAGAAATCTATTGACTTGCCTACACTAAAGCTTCAATTGAAATTGGAGATAATTTTGACATTCCAGTAATCCCCTTTCAGATTAAGCCATTCCAACTGACAGACAGTAACTTTGATGCCATGGTCAGTGTGGGCACAACTTTCATCAAATTTTATGTGCCGTGGTAAGTTCAAAATACAGTCACTTGTCATATGCTGTCAGTGTGTGTGGTCTGCGTAATCTGCTATTTCACTATAAGAGGGTCACTTTTGTCAATGATAATTATGAAGTAGAATAAAGTATTAGGTCTGTTTTTTTTAACCTTTGAGTCTGGCATGTGTTATTGGGCCATTTTGTATTTGCAATATGTGTGCTCAGTATCAAAGCCTCTTGTGGACTTGGATTGAGACTATTTGGACTGAAATTTGGAGTTTTTAAGTATTTAAGGATTTCCTCTAGACTTTATACTCTTGGGGAGCTTATTGGCTTGTGGTGGGGCAGCCCAAATGAAAAGGAGAATTTGTTTTTGTAATTCTTAGGTTGATTTATTTCTTCTTGTAATCACAGGTGCGTCCACTGTCAGACACTTTCACCAATCTGGGATCAGTTGGCAAACAAGTGCGCAGACAGTGCCTCTGGACCTCGAATTGCTAAGGTTTCTTTTTTTATTGTTAAGTGTGAGCTTTCTGTGGCTGTTATGAACCTGACAACAAAAAGCTCACTAGATATGGCAGACTTGGGAATCCAAATAAACCTATAAGAAACTGTGGGAGCATAAATAACTGGAGTCATGGGCAGGGGAAAAACTCTTTTTACTGTTTCCAGGTATCTTTTTTACCTTAAACCCCAGAGATCTTGTGACTTTATCTGTCAAGGGAAATGCATTTTTTTTTTTGCGTTTACGCATTAGGCGCATCCAAAGGTAAATTGGCCTCCATTAAAAGTTTTTAAAGCTGGACATTTCTTCCCTTAGCTCTTCGTAATGCTTTATGACAAAGGACCAATGCTGGAAATGTCAGCTAAAGAAACTTTTAATAGTGGCCAATTTACATCATCAACTCAGTTGTTAAAACCAAGTCATCTGAGTATGCGTTCTCTAGTTACCATATTGTTGCAGTTAACTGTAATGTGACGGCCTTAAAAAGTGTGACACATTTTTAGCTTCCTTCTCATTCAGTTCGTAGTTTGAGCTGTCCAGCCATTTCGTTTTATTTTCCCTTTTTTGTCATAAGCCAATTTTTCTCCCCAGGTTGATTGCTCGGAAGAAGCTGATCTTTGTCAGAGTTTTGGGGTAAGCTATTTTTCAACAATCTTATTAAGAAGTAAATACCTGAAAAAATCTCATCACGGCCTTTCTTAACGGTCGAGTTTAAAATCATTTTGGACTTAATATCCTTATTTTTGGCCTCTTTAATTATTACCTTTTTATTTATTTTATTTTTCTCAGATCAAGGGGTATCCCACCCTTATCGTATTTAGCAGAGGCGTTCGGAAGCAAGAGTACCGTGGGCCCAGAGATTTGAACAGTCTCTACAACTTTGCTGTCCAACACCACGAGGAACTGTAACTGGGATGCTCTGACCAATCATGGATTGGAATTGCTATTGATTGGGTCAATCATCCATAGGGACAGCCATTTATTGGGCCAATCATGCTTTAGGATGGAATGCATGCATCTTTTCTGAGCCAATCACATGAAAGAAGATAATAAAAAAATGACAGACAACTGAAAACGTCAATTAACAGTGGTTTGTTGTATGGGAAATCTCATTTGGCGAGGTGCTCCGTGAAGAGACATGCTTTTCTAAAGAATTTTTAGGGTCTGAATAATTTTTCACTGCCATTTTTACGCTAGAGATTAGTAAATAACAAGAAAAGGAAGTTGTATATACAAAGAAGTAGTGAAAAATAATTTATGGAAAGGCTCTAAGAAGCTTTTGCCGTTAAAAAAGAATGACTTATTTATGAAAATCTACGTAGTTAGGTCTTTAAGAAGTAAACTAATAAACGTGTATCATATGTTTAAGTTGCTTGAACTTTGTCTAACTGTTTTCTGAAAAAGTTATTTTGCTCAGGTGCAATACTTGACTGTCTGTGGAAAAATGTTGGATCCCCTCCTTTACCTATGCAAAGTAAACTTGAAGTTCGTAATCGTATTAAAAAAACAATGATTGAACCCGGTGATAGTAGAATAAGCCGGAACACAAATTTCGCGATGTCCTAGTTAAGTAATTGTGCTCCCTTGTAACTAAAGGGCAAGTACTAATCTCTGGACGAATGATTCAGGGAATACAAAGAAGCGATCGATCACGATCCGGGAAATTTTTCAATCTTTTGCACGATCAATCATGATCCGGTA